ACACCGCGGAATTCGTGGACGAAAAAGCCGGGCACGCGCGTTTAATTCACCGCGGAAGAAACTCGCGAAAGAAGTTTTCAAAGCGGCATCGATATTTATTTACACGCTTGTCTCGAGGCGAAATCATTTTCGACATGTGTCAAGGACGTCTCATCGCTAGTGATCACATTAATGATCGTTTATTTATAACGATAAAAAAAAAGGAAATTATTTCTTACAAAACTAAAATATTATTTGTACACTCATGTGCTTGCACATAAAAAAAAAAAAAATATTGGATAACGCGGTAGAAACGATGCGACTAGTATCCCGGCCCGTGGGAAGTCGCGTTCCGAATACAAAACGGGGATCTAAGCTCGAGGAACGGTCGGCCGAGTGCCGGCGCCGGTAGTAGCGGAAGTGGCGAATGGGCCGGAGAGGTGCATTTTGCACGACGATAAAAGCTCCGCGGCGCTTCTTTATTGGATAAAAAATCGCCGGATTCCGAATCGATAATCGAGAGGCGCTCGGCTATGCGCCGAATAACGAGCGGATGATTACAGTCGCCGTGGGATATAATGGCAAGTTGCCCGCGAATGTTAAAAAGAGCCCTCTCCGCGCCTTCCTCTTCGATTATAGGCGCCTTCTCCGAGGAGATGGTCGGTGTTGTACGGCCGTACAACACTGTGGAGTATGTAACTGCGATGACGAGCGTGCAACATGCTCGCGCAACGATGGCTCGAGCTGCATCGCATAATAATAGCGAATACCCCGTGCGCGCGCGCGCGCGCACGCGCGATTATTCGATCGGAAGCGATCGTCGCGTCGGGGACCGTTAGGCCTTTTCATCATTTATTCCGGACGTCGAGAAGTGACGCTTCCGCTTTTACGACGAGAGAAGTACATATGCCGCGAGAAACGGTGACAGAGTAAAGCAAAAAGAAAAAAAAAAAGCTAGTATTCGAACTTGATATATACAAAGTGTCACGAACGATTCTTATTTCTTCCATTTATTTTCGTAGACTGAAATGCGATTTGATCTACATAATACACTTCTGCCTATAGATTGAAACTGATAAATTGTTGATTGAAAAAAATTCAAATTTTCTTCAGAAACGAATTTTTAAAGTTAAAGAAGAAAGTAATAAATCCATAGCTATTAAAAAAAAAGTGAAAAAAAAATTAAAAATACTGTAGGAAATATTATTCGTTTTCCTTTGTCAGCAATAATTAAAATTCCAAAAATACATATGTTAGTATTTCCGAAGAGAAATAATTAAAAAGATATTTTAGTTTTCCCTACGTAAAAGGGTGGTTGGTCGAATAAACAATTTGTTTAAGAAACTTGACCAAAAATCTGGCCGGCGATTGAATACAGACGATTGACAATTCTTCACTAGCTGGATTTACATCTTTACAGTTTATGAAAAGTGTACTTACATTCCTTGTTGCGATCCATGGCGTGCTGGAGAGGTGAATCGTCGACCTCCGCCTTCGGCGGCGACTGATTGCCCTCGGCCATCTCCGATTCCGATCCTGGAACGGAACCCGCGGCCTTCCTTCCTGCCGCGTCCGCCGCTGCCTTATCCTGCTGCGGCGAGAGCTTCGTCCCTTTCTTACCGTTTCCAGCGTCCCTGCAGGTCCGGAGAACGGATCGAAACGAGCAAAACGTCGCAGTTTTGTGAATTAATCTTTCATACGTCGGCTCGAAGAGAAACCGATCGAGCCTGCCGGGTGCTGATCGAGACTCGAGTGTCAATCGAACCTCGGCATTTTACCGTCGCGGCGTGTTTTTGTCAAGGATGACGGAATGACGGATCAATCGACACTCAAACGGACGTTTTCATAAAAAAGCGACGTCGCAAACGGTCGCTCTTTCCTTCTCTTCGAACACGAGATAGATTCGCACCGAGCAAGAAATAACCGACATTGAATTGCATCTACGTCGCGATATTTATACTTCGAGTGTGTATCTACGTGAATTTACTCCGTTTTCAATTAATTAAAAATATTTAGAAATAATATGTTCCTACGTCAAGAATTTTCACGAGCTAACTCTTAAATAAATTAAAAGTATATATGAACTATATTGTATATATGTGAACAAGAATATATAAATATATCGTATATATATGAACAAAAATACATAAATTATATATAAAAAAAGCATAAAAAAGATTTAACATTGTGATTGAATTTTTCAATATCACCTTACTTTGAACTTCTGTGATATTTTTATTATTATAGAATAAATGTGTTTCTTTTTAACTTCTCTTATTCCCGAATAATGTAAATGTCATGTGAAATGAACGATACACACACGTTGCAAAAATCTCGATAAAATAGAGAATATCGAGTCGCGATTCCTTCTGCGGCGAAAGGGTAAAAATAACCGTCGCGTTTAAGGGTGAAAACATTTATCTCGATCGATTCCACAAGAGCTTCGCGGATCCAGATGGCTCGCGAACTCTAGACTAATCACTGTCGCGAGCGAAATGTCATGCAAAAAATCCGCCTGTTTGGTTTAGCCTGACGAAAAGTTCAGAGAAAATTACATGCGCGAAATCGCACGGGATCCATACGTAGAGAAGTGGCGTGCCGATTAAAGATTTTAAAGCGTCGAGAGAGCCAACGATCCCGGCGAGGTAGTTTAAGATTCCGAGGGGAAAGTTCCAAGAAAAGATTACTCGTCACAGCTGGAGATAGGAAGCCGGTCGTTAAGAGCGTTTATATTCTCGCGTAACGACTACACGCGGTACTGATACTAAATTGCGGGTTAATCGTCCGCTCGGCGCGGCCTTAGCATCTCGCGATCTCGCTGCGGCGGATTGAAGTTCTCAGAGAGCCGAGAAGCCCACCGAGGATCGTGCGATCCCGTTGTCTCTCATTTGAACACCTTACTAAAAAATTCCAAACCAAATTCTGATTTAGTTATTACTTAAAATCAAAGTTTCATCGAGTATTCGATTCGAGAATTTTTAATTTAGATGTTCATTATATATTTATGTGGCTTTTGTTATTACAATAAAATAGTATATAATATTAATATCGTTAACGTCAAAATATTATTATGATCGTTGAAAATTTCCTTTCCATTTGCAGTCCTTGTAACTCGCGCGATTCTAGGCAAGAATATCCTCCGATAGTGTGATAGTCCTACTTAGCAACCTGTTTTTTTCCTGCCGCATTTCTGCAAGGTCGTCGCGGCGCATCGCGCCTCGTTCCGCCGTTCGGTTAATAGAAATAACGTCTCCCGAGAGATAATGACGCGGGCGATGCGCGTCAAAGCGTCGGGGAGGAGGCCGCGGAGCTTGTTAAAATAATCGAGGTGCAGGTGCCGAGCGACGCTCCTATTTCTCGATCGCGATAACGCCTTGCCTTAGTCTCAGCGCGCGACCAGAAACACGTGTACTTTGTCTACTTCTATTTGTGCGCGGGACGCACATCCTCGGTTATACTTGGTGGAAGCCGATAAGAGGGTGATAACACGACTCGGATATTCTCCTCATTTCGCTACTTCGCAAAGTTTTATTGGATCGATATAACTCGAGTTCCGTTCCACGAATCTTTCCCTCGCGTTCTCCATGTAATCTATAGACAGTGCGGAATATGCAAATAATCTCACCTCTCGTCCTTGGCGTCGCGCCTAGGATCCTTCCTGTCCCGGTCCTTATCCTTATGGCTGTCCGCTTTTTTCGTCTTGGACTTCGATTTGGAGTCGCTTTTGGCGACCTTGTGCTCACCGCCGCGTTCAGTGACGACCACGGCGGTGCTGTCGTTGCAGGATTGCGCACCGGAAGCGCTCGAGGACGTGGAGGACGACGTCGATGCCGCTCGATTGTTAGTGTAATCCTGCACGAGGAGCGTACCTCGTTATCTCGCATTCGTACAACGAGAATGCAGATTCTGATACTGCACGAGAGAAGGATAAAGTAAATCTTACCTTAAACCACTCTGGATAAATCGCGCTGATGGTATCCAGAAGGTCCTGGTCAAGTTGAATCCTCCAGAAGGGGGAGCCGCTGTCCAACCTGTGGCCAGACTCTGAAACCAAAGAGAGTAACGCAAAAAATTAGTTTAATTTACGGACTGCACGGCGTGTACACTGTTAAGGTAAATACTTGTATGAATGTGGCATGATGAGGCATACACGTAAAGAAATGATTATGTGACGCAATAAAACGAATAAGTCATTACTGCGCGCGGACGGGATTTAAAATGTGCAAGCCTCGAAACCGCGGCGCGAAGGATCGCGGGTCGGGCCCTTAAGCGTCATTCCTGCCGCATAAGGGCTAATAGTGCCCCACGAACGCGATACGCGCCCCAAAGGCGTATCAAAACCTCGCGGAATGCCGATCCTGTCGTTTCTTTCGCGCATTCCGAGGGATTCCCTGCCTAATTTAAACGTTCATCGGGTACCGAGGGATCACCCGGCGGGATGCCGGGGAGGTAAAGGACGGCCTCGAGGAACTATGTTGCATCCTCGACGAAACGCACGGGTAGGAGACGCGAGAGAGAGAGAG